GTAGTACAGACAGTACCTGTCAATGTCATACTTTATGGGCATGCACTAATTAGGTCGGCATATGTTATCTATAGTCTTAGTTCAGTAAAATATTACTTATGCTCAGAAGGGCTAGAACCCAGAGCCGTAAAGCCAATGATAAAAGTAAATATTACTTAATATGTAGGTAAATAAAAGTTATTATGCTACCATTATTACATTATCATAACAAATATGCCCATTTGTTATCAATAATATTAAGACAAATAACAAATACACACGACAGCTTACAAATTAAATCCAACATGAGAATAAAGCGAAGTCGATGAGAGTTATTTGTTGCGAATTATGCGCTTGGACCTCACCGTCGACTTTGGTGCACTACCACTGTTAACATTTGGTGACACTTTCTTCGTCGAAGAATCAGATGGTTGATCCAATGCAGAAGGCTACTCATATTGTGTAATGAGCTCATCGAGGTCCTTGGTGTCCGTCAGCCGATGGCACTTACCACAAGGCAACTTGACGTGTATATTACTATCGAGTGACCAAACTTGTCTAATACCAAAGTGCTTACGTGCAGCAATGAATAAACCTTGACGCTGACGAGTAAGAAACTCGGACAGCACATATGAGGTGCCTTTTAAGAGAGTCTTTTTCAAATGGTTGACTTAATGGACTGATCACTAAACCGAATCAGAACTGGTCTTACACGAGCTTTAGTTACTGCACCTAGACGATGGCAAGCCGTAATGGAGCTTGAAGAAAACTCCTGTAGTTGAAGCTTATCCTGCAGGACAGTTACAACTTTATTTATGATGTTTTCATCACATGATTCCGGAACTCCATTTAGCAGCAAATATTATCTCCGATTCCGCATCTCAATATTGTCAACAGTTTGACTAACCTCATTGATCTTCTGGTGTAGTAGTGACATGATTTGCCAAACATCATCCTTAACCACTTGAAAGTCGCTTGAGAGAAATTTCATCTCAGGAGCAGTGGTGGCAGATTTTTTCATAAGTGCTTCAAATTCCGCCATACGTTGATTGAGAGAAGTTAACGCAGCCTTTTGGATATTTGCTAACTCGGCAATAGTGGACATTTTCTGGAAAACTTGTCTTCTGGTGTGTTGTGAGAGTTGAAAGTGACCGGTGGTAGGGTGATGTAACTTTATCACAGTTTAACCATTAAGGGGAGTTAAACCCACAATGTATGTATTTAAATACACAAAAATAGTAAAAAATATAAACTAGGAAACTGTAAATTCCTTAAAATATCAATAAAAAATAATTTTGTTACTTAGAGCAATGTGCACTTTATTTCACGTCTACCGCCAAAAAAAAAGCCCTATTATAAATAGTGTAATAATTACTAATTCTTACTGAATCACTGGCATAGTTTCAGAATAGATAGTCTAACAGTTGTCAAACACTTTTAATGTCAGGCGATCCCACCGCCCACGTAGATATTTTGCCACCGGGTAGGATGTCACGAAATTAGGAATGAAATAATTTTGTATATTATAATACTCATTATCTTTTATTATCATTATGTGGATACTTATTAAGTTAAAGTTACAGCCTATATACGTCCCACTCCTGGGCACAGGCCTCTTATCATTTCTGAGAGGGTTTTAGGGCAAGGAATAGTCCGCCGCGCTGCCCCAATGCGTGTTGGCAAACTTCACGTCTTGGAAATATTTTTTTTCTTATTTCTCAGACTAACGGTTTCCTCACGATGTTTTCGTTCACCGCCAAGCACGTGGTAAATCAGCACTTAAAATTGCAATCAACAATGTCATTGGTGCCGGCGGGGATCGAACCCGGTTTGCTCGCGTACTGTGAAATTTACAGCGAGCGCTAACTATCTGAGCGACCACGGCACTTATTAAGTAAAAAACATTTATTGAATACTATCATTTTTATTACTACAAAAAAAAATAACGAACATGTGCGATATATTCGTGACACTTTTTTTTTATACGAGGGCGGCACTGAAAATTTCGGGAATCAAGGAAGTGACACAACATTACTATTTAAAAATGTATTTATTGCTTTTCGAAGTATTCTCCGCGAAATTTGACACATTTTTCTATACGATGGAACCAATCATTGAAGCAACCATTCCATTCGGAAGTTGGGGTCTCCAAAATGGCCGTTTTGTAGGCGTCCACAGCTTCTTCAGGTGATGAAAATCTCTGTCCACGCAATTTATTCTTTATTTTAGGGAAAGTATAGAAATCATTAGGGCTTAGGTCGGGGCTGTACGGCGGATGTTCTAATAATTCTATGTTTTCTTGCTCTAAAAACTCTTTTGTTCTGTGTGCGGTGTGAGAACTCGCATTGTCGTGATGGAGGATGATGCGGCGGTTGCAGTTCTCTTTACGGAGTTCAGAAACGACCTGTGGCAAACAAATGCTAGCATATCATTCTGCATTAACCGTTCTTTGTCCCTCAAGAGGCATAGTCGTAACATGGCCGGTTTTAGAGACAAACGTGGCCACCATTTTTTTTTTTGCAACACTCCGTAAACGTACAATTTTTGTTGGCTTTAACTCATTTTCGAACACCCAAACTCGTGACTGGTTTTTTGTTTCGGGTTCGTACGCGTATATCCAGGATTCGTCACCTGATACGATGTTGTATACATCCTATCATTTGAGGATCCTGCGTGGAATCTTTCAAGAGTTCTGACGCACCAAGTAACGCGAGCCGCTTTTTGCTCTTCACAGAGCGAATGCGGTATCCATCGGGAAAACAACTTTTTTACACTTAATTGTTCATGCAAGATTATTGTAGAATAGTATTTGACTCATGCCAATATCTAAAGTTGCCTGAATTTCGCGATATGTCACATGTCGATCTTCCTCAATCAGCTTACGCACAGCATCAACGTTTTCTTGGGTGACTGCAGTTTTTGGACGACCTTGACGGGGATCATCACTGAGCTTGATACGTCCATGTTGAAATTCAGCAAACCAGCGATAAATTGTGGTTTTGGACACTAAATGTATACTCAGAAATTATCCGGTCAACACACTGTTTTTGTGTTAAACTACTTCGAAAGTCATAATAAATCATCGCTCTTGAATTTTCTCGAGTCAATTCCATTTTCTCGACCACTAAACAAGTTTGACAAAACCTTGTGACAAGACCGAGAGTCTTTTTTTTAAATAAATAAATGGTATTCCATTTTTAAAACCAAGGAGTTTTCAATTAAAAAGGATTTTAATATGACAGGAACAGTGGAAATATTCCGTTCCCGATACTTTTAGTGCAGCCTTGTAATTGTTTTCAGTTTTCGATTGTAAAATTTAATTAGAGTAGTGTATTCGGATAAACAATTTTATCAAAAAAATGATGGAGACATAAGCATGGCCGTAATTTGAATACAACTTTACATAGATACCTATTTCATCATCATCATCATTACAGCCCTTCACAAGTCCACTGCTGAACATAGGCCTCCCCAAGGTCCACAAAGCACGGTCCTGAACCACCTGCATCCATCGACTTCCTGCATGCCTTACCAGGTCATCACTCCATCTAGTGGGGGGTCGCCCTACACTTCGCCTACCGGTACGAGGCTGCCACTCGAGAACGTTTTTCCCCAATGGTTGTCGGTTCTTCGAGCTATATGGCCGGCCCATTGCCACTTCAGCTTACTAATCCGTTGGGCTATATCGGTCACTCTGGTTTTACTGCGGATGTCCTCATTTCTGAGTCTATCACGCAGAGAAACTCCGAGCATAGCCCTCTTCATAGCTCGCTGAGCGACCTTGAGCGTCCTCATATGGCCAGCAGTGAAGGACCACGTCTCAGATCCGTAAGTCATCACTGGCAACACGCACTGGTTGTACAACTTAGTTTTCAGGTTTTGAGGTATACCTGACGAGAAGATGTGTCGTAATTTCCCGAACGCTTTCCCAGCCGAGTTGAATCCGTCGATTGCCCTCTCGGTCGAAGTTGGACTTACCTAGTCGGACTATTTGTCCCAGGTAAACGTACTCGTCAACAACTTCGAGCTTAGTGCTCCCAACAACGTCCGGCATAGGTGTGACATCTTTGTTTTGTCCATGTTCATCTTAAGACCTATCTGTTGGGGGACACTATTGAGGTCATTGAGCATAGTGCTTAAGTTCTCCAGCAATTCTGCCATAAGGACTACATCGTCGGCAAATTGAAGGTGAGTGATGTACTCGTCATTGATCTTAATACCGTATCCTTTCCAGTCCAGTAGCTTGAAAACGTCTTCCAATGCAGCGGTGAAGAGTTCGGGAAAATAACGTCACCCTGTCACCTTTCTGCACTTCTATATACCGACAGTCAACTTGGCACCGCTGAAGAGACTATAGCACCGCCCAAATTTCGACGAAATCAAAGGCTTTCTCATAGTCCACATACGCCAGGTAAAGTGGCAGATTGTACTCTTCGCACTTCTGTACAATTTGCCGAAGGGTATGTATGTGGTCTATGGTACTAAAGCCTTTTCGGTAACCGGCTTGTTCGGGAGGCTGTCGAGTCTGTGTGCGAGACGATTCGTAATGATTCGAAAACAGCACGTAGACGCGGCTCAGAAGGGATATCGGTCTGTAGTTCTTCAAGAGGGCGTTGTCACCTTTTTGAAGAACAAGACCACCGCACTTCTGCTCCACGCGTCTGGAGTAGTGCCACCATGGAGGACGGAATTGAAGAGCTTCCGAAGGACTTCAAGTACCGGTGTTCCACCCGCTTTCAGAAGCTCCGCTGTAATTCCATCCTCGCCTTGGGACTTGCCGTTCTTAACACATTCATCACCCCTACGATTTTCATGATGTCTTCTCGGATTCCGCCTACATTTTACGGTTGACTCGCCAGGCGAGTCGCCGGCACTGCAATATAAATTGATCGACTCGCCACGCGAGTTCACTGGCACTACGTAAGGGTAAGTTCTATGTTTTGTAATTTTTGTGGCCGTCACAGTGTACTTAACGTGTGTACGCAATTAAAAAGTGTTTTCGGACTATTCGGCTTGTAAAAATGGCAAAAAACTCTTTGGATGAAATAAAAGGTAAGTTTGTTTCGTAATTTGAGCAGTGGTTGTCAACCTTTTAAATTGTAGTTATTGTTAAGGTTATATTTTGAATTTCTAATACTTGTGAATAGACAATTTTACCCTGAAATAATTTAATACGGGCTTTCAGTTTTAAGAATATAGTATCAGATAGATTTTGGGTCGGCTTTAGTAATCTGCTGCACGATTTAAGTGACTATTTTAGCTTTAGTTGACAGGCAATGATGCTATTGATTACCATTTAGCTGCTTTTTATGCCGGAAATCTTTATTTTTCGAGATATCGATAGTTAAAGTTTTGAGGTTATATCGAGTTGGCTAGCGGTACTTGATTTTGATTAATTAAATTACATATAACGAAACGCAAATATTATGTCAGTTTGTTTTTTTAACACAGATGCACTCATAAAAAAGTTAATCACTCAGACCCAAACAATCCATTTGTGGCTGGAGATGGGACTTATATACAACAAATTGAGTTGCAGTGGAGAGCAGTCAAGAGGTTTATCAGAAAACAAAATTATAACAATTCTCATTACATTATTTCATTCACCACTCTAGTAGCAGAGCTAGTAGAGAGAGCAACTAGAATTTATAGATAAAATAGGTCCGGTAATCGTAAGTAAAGATATAGTCGAAACAGCACTCAAACAAGTCCAGTAATCGCAAGCCAAGGTAATCAAAACACGGGAGTTCAGCAAACGTAAGCCAGGTCACAAAGGTAGAGAACAGATAAACGCATGCGATGACGAAAGGGTCGTACAAAGCACTGATATTGAAAACAAAGTTTACTAGAGTAGGCAACGACGTCACAAATAGGAATACAATGGACGAAATATTTAGTTGCAAGTGCATTCTTGGAGTGCGATTTAACATTAGCCAATGAGAGCTTTGTAAAAAACAATGTTATCAGTGCTTTTGTTCTTCAAATACAACGGCGCGCCGGTGTTTTTTGTCGGCTGTTTTATCAATGCCGACCCTTTTTTTATTTATTTTCAACCCTATTACAATGATACAAGATTTATAATATGGCTGCTAGATATGTTATCTCAAATATTACGATAACTGTATTTCTAAAGCTTGTTTAAAAAAAAATTATGTCTTGATAGTTCTTCCTAGGACAGAGGCTTTATTCCAAACTGGTGGTATATCAATACGTAATCAAACAAGAGTGACTTTCGATAAGTAACACATAAACACTCATGCCTGTCACCCAGAGAGGTAGGCAGAGACTACGGACTTCCATTTGGCACGATCCTAATTATTCTAATGAAACTAGTTTGTTGTATATTAGTTCCATATCACAAGTATGTAGGTAGTCCATGCTACTATGTTCACGTCGTTGTCTAACATGTCAAAGGTTGAGGATTTATGTCAGGGAACTCGCCTAGCGAGTTCAAGGCATTGCAGAATAGTTTGTTTCCTTTCAAATTTAAACGGGGTCTCCACACCCGGCCCACCACGTAAATCTTTAGTTTAGCATATATTTAGTCTAAACTATAATTTTAAGCAGAAAATACTAATGCATTTTGGAAATATTAGTGAAAAACACTGAACTCGCCAGACGAGTCGTCGGCACTGGAATAAGATTTACGTGAACTCTCAGGGCGAGTCGGTGGCACTGAATGTGTTAAGGTGCTGGAGAGCCATTCTAATCTCGCTCAGACTGACGTCCGGGATATCATCGGAATATTGGCCGATAAGACTTGCTCTTGGATCGTTACTCACACTTGCGTGTGGCTCCGACGATGATGTGTACAGCTGCCCATAGAACCTCTCAATCTCACTCAGAATCTCAGGTGTCCCGGAAAAGATGCTGCCACACTCAGTCTTCAGCTTTGACAGTTGGCTCTTACTGGCAGACAGATCTCTGGCAAAGACTTTGGAGCCCTGGTTCCGCTCGATCGCTTCTTCAATACGAGGAGTATTAAAGTTGCGTAAATCTCGCCGCAAGCATATGGAGGTCTGTCTGTTCAGTTGCCTGTATGCTGTGAAATCTGTTGACGATTGCAGCCTCCATCTCCCGTCTTAACAGCCATGAGATTAAGAGTGTGATCGGAGAGTTTTTGTGTTCTTCTGCGGCGGGTCTTGTAGAACTTAGCTCCGACCGCATGGACAGTTTCCACGAGCTTGTCATTCATATCGTCCACTACATTGCAATCTTCTAGGCACTGAAAGCGGTTACGTAACTCGAGCTGAAATGTTTCGGGATTCTGGATTAGAGCACGAGGGGGACGGAGCGTTGACTTCATTAGACGAGACCTCTCCAACTTAACGTTTAGGTTCAGTGTGCCTCTAACTATTCGGTGATCGCTGCCAGTTTTCACCCTTGCGATCACTGAGACATCACTGAGCAGTTGGCGTCTGATCGTCATAATGAAGTCAATCTCATTTTTTGTCGCACCGTCGGGGCTCGACCAGGTTCACTTCCTGTGGGGCCGCTTCTGGAAGAAAGAGTTCATCATAGAGTCCCTGTTCAATTCCAATCACCGTCAACAACACGGACTTTACCAGACCACGATCAGACCGAGAACGAACTGCGAACGGCAAATGAGGGTTGGCCCTTAGTGGAGTGCGCTGGCAAAAGGTCGCGCCGCCCCCTAATCCGCAGGGCCCCGCACTTGTTCTGCGCGAGTACATTCGTTTCCCAACTGTTAGACTTTTCTTTCGTTAAACTGATCTTTAAACTGTGCCACTGAATCTGTATTGCATAATAATTGGAATATGGGCTAAAGTAATAATATATTTTATCAATGTCACGCTTTATACCTTTGCCTTATAATAAAATCATAGTTATGCATAAAACATATTATGTCTACAATAATATAGTTTCATTTTATGTCTACAATAATTATAGTTATTGAAATAAAAACAATCGTTAACTCTTTCTAAAAAGTGATCAATATAAAAAACAGTCCATTTCTATACCTATAGCAACACTATGAATGATCAGCTATCACAGAATTGCATCAATTAAACACATTGGCAATTGACATACATATAGCGGTAATTTTAAAATATTCTAAAACTCCTTACAACGAATAAATCACAAAATCGATTAATGAATCGATTTACATAAATCAGCGTCTTTGTATCGATTTAGCGCAGAAAGAAGTTTCCTATCAATAAATAGTGCTTTTGTCGTCATAGTAGGTAGAAGAAATGTGTCATTCTTGTTTTAAGTACGGATATCTGTATATCTCCGTGCTTACGGTATCTATTTAGATATGTGTGGGTGGTTTAAATATTTAATATTAATATAATATGTAACAACTAATAATATGATTTAATAATAACACTAATTATCACCTATACATTTGCTACGGTGATTTTCAAGGGGCTTGTGACGATATAAAATAAATACGCAATAATATTTAATATTGGTTATGCACTTACAAATATGACAAAAGTGGGCCATCTGGTGTGTTGGCGATAGTGGTAGGTTAAAGGAAACTGCATCTACCCAGATGTACGTACGTTTATTGAAAGAGCCACAAGCATATTTAAAACTAGCTTACTTATAGGAATATATTTACGTTACAAACATTTCGTAAGTCTGAAATTTGATGCGACACACTTTTGTCATATTTGTAAGTGCCTAATCAAATCATATTAAATATTATTGTGCATTTATTTTATATCATCACACATTAATATAAATAAAATTAAAGTGTCTGTCTCTTGCATCGAAACTATATCGAGCTCAGGGAGTTATTTGCATACCATTAAGACATTAACCCTTCGATCCCCATAAAAATCCGATGCAGTCGGTCGCATGGAACCGCACCCACCCGCAGCACTTAAAACTATTAAAAGTTATATTTAGAGACTACTCTATATAAAAGTCAGGTTTTACTTCATTACAAAAAGACTGTTGTATTTTGATAACCAAAACAACATAACAAACGAATGTCGGCAGCGTGAAAATCACAATTATTTCAATATATATTACTCGAAATTATTTATGTAAAAGGATAAATTATATTCACACATAAACTTTCATTACAATTTTATAATAAAATACTATACTAAAACACTAGAAAAATTCTAAAATCTACACAATAACATTCACACGAAAATGGCGTTCGCAATTAACGTTGATTATAAATAATTATCCATAAGATAACTTGAATTTTTATTGCACGCAAAATTTCATATTGATTCTATAACGTCAAACGTTTTAATAGAAAAGTAGTCTGTGTAAATATAAGTTTAAATGATTCAAAATGCTGTGGGTATGTATGCGCGGTCGAATTCGACCGCGCAAATTTTGACGGAGTAGCGTCGCGGTCGAATTCGACCGCTTAGGGGCTGGAGGTTAATAACCATTTGTAACATTTTTGTCTGTCTGGTCCGTGCGGGCTAATCTTCAGAATAACTGAACGGATTGTGATGAAACTTCGCAAACAGATAGAGAGCAATGCCAGGAGTGATCTAAGTTATATTTTAGTCGAAAAATTGAATTTTTTTGTGATATATAAAATTGATAAAATGATGAATTGATGAATGAATATTTTAAACAATTTAAATGATGTCAATGATGAAAAGGTAATAGTTTACTATAAATACCTTAATATCATAAACATTATATAAGCATATGTTAGCGTTTATTTTTAAAAGACATCTCTACAAAAATAATGAAGAACTAAACATTATTTTGGGTAATTGTAATAACTCCTATACAAATTACTGTCATAAAAACTTTTATTTGTAAATTAAAAATGCCTAAATTCACTTCAAGACAAAATTTTGCGATCGACATGTTAAGAGATACAACCAGTAATTAAATAACAATATCTAGTTCAATTCTCTTTTAATATAGTTTAAATAATTTCTATTAACACGATAACATTATAGAGGCGGCTTAACAGAATATAAAATTAGACCCCAAAAGTCAACCTTGTGGTAACCTCTAACGACCGTAATCATTTTACCCATACAAAACTATTTCAAACGCAATTGACGTAATTTTAAAATGATTTGAAGAACAACCATGTAACAGGTCTAGCGCAGCTGGTGTCGGAACAGTTCATCTCGGGCGAAGAGCGGCAAGCAACCACCAAGACAAAACAGTCCGATCACAATCGTGAGTCACACACAATTATATGCACTCTTAGTAGAATGTTGTAACCTTTCAGCATTGTCACTTACGTCTCGTTAAATTACATTGCTGCACAAGTTTGAAACTGATATTTAATGTAGTTAGAGTATTGCACGCATGCTTATAGTCAACCAAATCTAAGAAATACATTTTGACAGCTGTGATATTTATAGCACCAAGCATGCCAACCAAAAAATGGGAACGTACAATATTCGATTATTAAAAAAATCGATATCGATTATTTAGAGTTAGTAATCATTTATAGTTTGTTTTGAATAATACCAGAATAAATTAAAAACGGATAATTTGAAACACAAGATTTATCAGCTTATTCGTATTTGTTGTAACTACTTTTATTTCTAGAGGCACAATTAAAAAAAATTTAGATTGAAACTAGATTAAAAATAAATTTATTCAATCACTTTCAGTTCGAGTACATGAGCTGTCGTTTAGATTAATTATTATTTGAGTTTCAATAATGCTATCAAAATTAATGTTTCTTAAAGTCACCCTCTTTTCTTTTGTTTTTTTCTACCACTTTTGCCCAATCATCGTTTTTGACATGGGCACATTCTTCAACGAATATAGAATAAACAGTTCAAAAAGTTAAAGCCGAGTCACAAAATAAGAAGACAAACACAAAATCACAAAATTACGCACAGTAAGCTCCCGAAATGGCGGGAGATTGAAATTACGTAGTGGTTTTTTTTGTTTAGATTGAAATTACAAAGGACAATGGCGAAATAATAGGTGATGGAATTATTAAGCGTCTACTTAAGTCACCATTACAGATATCAATAAAATAATTTACTATAGAAAAAATAATCATACACAATTCAAAACTTAATTGACTAGTTGTTGCAGTTGTTATGATTCGTCAGTTAAGACAGACAAAGATCTTATAACATACAGCCGAGTTTGACGTGTATTTTATTCAGAAAACTCTTTTATATATACTAATGCGTTCTTTAAGGATTCCATCTATGCTAGTAACTACCCTATATAAACATATATGAAAATTATATTGACTAGTTGTTGTAACGATTTGCCAGTTAAGGCGTTTTATACCATACAGCCCGTCTGATATGTATTTTGTTTAAACTGGAATATCTCTGATTCCCGATTTGCAGTAGTATGACCGAAGAAAAAAATGTTCAGGATTTTAAACTATATTTTTTACATATTTTGCATTTGTAGACGAAAGAAAAAAAAGTCAACTAAAGTTTATTTGGGAGTTCGCCATCTTCCTTTACGTTGACAAAGTAAAAAAAAATGAACTTGCTTTATTCATGATTCGTGTAATTTAAGGAATTTTAAAAATAAAAATTTAATTAAACAAATAATACATTAAAAAATTAATGATTCGATTATTTGAATATTACTATCACATCACCTATTATTTAACGATTATTTGAATCTTTTTGCCGATTATTCGCATATCAATGAATTTTAATCATCCAAACACTACGGTAAGACACATAGCGACATATCATTAAACCACGTCAAGTAAAAAAGTTAATACAGCCAGTATTAACTTTTTACTTGACGTCGTTTCTTTTAATATTTTGGTTTGTTTGAAAGATTCGAATTTAAATTAGTGATAAAAAACTAAACACGTTGTAATTAAATATAGATAACTTCAGAATTCTTCAGATTTAGGTAAAGGGTTAATGTAAATCATATGAATACGCCTGTGTAAAGTTATTGCAGAATGATTAATGTGAAACGTCAAAAGGTATTTTTTAGATTTGGTTGACTTTAGTAAATTTTGAGTATGTTCCGAAATACAACGCAGTGTACTGTCCAATGCAAATGACGTCATCATTTGACACTTTATTGTACTAGCGTGCCGCTGCCATATTGTGTCGGATATCCGGCCATAATAAAACAATTTTTAATTGTGTGTTTGCCGAATGAAGCATGCCAGAATTTGTTTCTATTTATTCAAATACAAAAAATTATAGAATAATTGATGGTATATCCATTAGGAGGATATAATGATTTTTGGAGCACAAAATGATAAAATAATCACCAAAACTTTTCCAAATGGCGCAAAAGTATGACGTCATATACTGTCCAATGTTTTGGAACGAATCACCAGGATCGCGTCGATTCATGACGTCATTTGCATTGGACAGTACACTGCGTTGTATTTCGGAACATACCCTTTAAAACCTTTAGTACAGACGGAAGTAGCAGGATAAATAGAATATTTATTTAAATTTCTTTGACAATCTCAGAATGTTACTAACTATATCTTAAAAAACTTTACTTTTTTTATATTCTTACGGTTGCAGAATAATAAAAAAGAGATAGAATGAGAATCACCAAAGTATACGTTAAATTTATTATCGCCAAGCCACATACGATAATATAAAATAATCATAAATATACATATAATATATTAATATTATATAATAATATATTTATATACATAAAACCTGTGTGCTGTGGTAGTTACAGAAATTAAAAGAAAAAAAAAAACAAGGAGTTCAAATCGGCAAATTGGCAATCTCACAGTCAAGTTCATGGGTGAAAAATGGTTCTCGTCTTTTAAACACAACCTGTTCATTCTTTCTTAAGATCACAAATATGAATGCTCTTCTCTGAAAAACTACCCAACCGGCAAACAGCTGACCTGAACATTTTGCAAGAGTGCGGTCGCATTATTAACCTTTCTTAGACCAACGAACACTTGTTTTAGTTTCGAATATACACACCCCTGTCTCCTAATATTATAGTACATTCCATGCTGCAACCGCATCTACCTTTTCTACTACTAGTTCCTTTAGTTATGCCATTAACAACATTTTATGTCTCTCATATCATTTTCATAGCATCTTAATCATAATATTAGTGTGATATTATCCTGCTGTTTATATACTGGGTGATTATTATATGAACAGCCAACAACATTTTGCCGTCTGGAAAATAATATGGTGTTTTTTGTAAGTGGAATAGAAACTATCCTCGAAATTATTTGTAAAATATAGCGAAATATAATTATATAGGCAAAATTTCCGAATAACAAAAAAATACATAAAAACAATTCATCTTGGTCAATTCCTTGTTACATTTCATTGTATCCAGGGTTAAGACTTTTCTTTAAAATCGAATTATATTCGAAACGAAGTTGATTTTATGCATGTTATCTTTAAGCGTCATTAAACACTCGAACCTTTCGAAAGTGGGACTGCCGTTTTAGCTAGTCCATGTTAAAGAATTTACCAAGATCATCCGTTCTCGGTGCAAAGTCAAAACAAAACATATAAAATTTTAAAATAAGGTTGACAAACGAACACAAAAAGAGTAGTTTTTGTGATAAAATTATAAAGCGTATAAAGCCATGTTTCTAGTATATAGTGCTTCAATCTCTTTATCTGTTTCTACAAAACTATCAATTTTATTTATTTATTTATTTAAAAACTTTATTGCACTTAAAATGTACAAATTGGCGGATTTAATGCCTTTAGGCATTCTCTACCAGTCAACCACGAGCTAAGCAGAGAACTTTAGCAGGTGCCATAAAACATGAGGATAATTTATACGTGAATGTAAATATAAAAATACACATACCAGTGTAAATACAAAAATAAATATACATAACTACAATTAACCTAAGTAATATACTCAATACCTGATACATTATACATACATAATTTTTAAATAGTACACGATACATACGTTTTAAGCATACTTACATACGAACATATTGTACTAAAACAATTTGAATAATTTATAATGTCAAGTCACATATAAGCAGAAACAATTAAATATGGAAGTTATTTGCTGGAAGAAGAAAGGTAGTGATCAGTCACCATCCTCTTAAAGGTAGCAACAGAAGTCGGTTTTCTGATATGAGGGGGCAATTTATTCCATAACCTTATGGCCTCAGCGGCGAAAGACTGCGACATAAATTTGGTACGGCGAGGAAAAGCACACAAGGTAGTTCCCTCGGAGGATCGCAGGTTACGATCGTGAGAAGAACCCAAATACTGAAACTTGCATTTCAGGTATTGGGGAGTGCATAGATCATAAAGGATTGAAAAAAGCGTACGAAGAATTTTGATACATCTACGCTGATTGTTAGGGAGTCATTTAAGCTTAGAGCGATATATATCCATATACATGATCGTATTTACGAAGGCCTAAAATAAAACGGATGCAATTATTTGACAAACAATCCAATTTGCACAGAAGTACTTGACTCACATCAGAGTAACACACATCAGTATAATCAATAACTGGTAAAACAAGCGCTCGCGCCAACATAGCTTTATTCTCGGTTGGAAGGAAATTCTTGAAACGATAAAGGCCACGCAGGGTGATTGTCACTCTCCGGCTTATTTCAGCCACCTGAGATTGCTAACTTAATTTAGCGTGAACCATTAACCCAAGGTCTTTAACTACATGACTAAGAGGAATAATTTTAGTGTGAATTTACCAAATAAAGATTTATTTGTATACATTAACAATATAAAATTATTATGATTATATACTCCTAAATTATTCTTAAATTATTAAACTATATAAAAGATATCAAACGAGCATATAGTTCACCTGATGGTAAGTTAATGCTATAGCCCATCTACATACATCTAAATTTATAAACTATTAAGAATCAAAATTTTGATTGTTGTTGTCGTTGTCACTCCTGTGGATTAAGATGAATTTCTCGGATTTAGAATGGCCACAATACGGCCACAGATCGTAGCGTTGTCACTAATCTTAATTTTTAGTTTCTCTAACTTTATAATTGAAGCTATGGATGATAATTGTCAAGTGGTTGCCGATTTCGCTAAAGCATTTAACAAACCTTCCCAAATCACATTACTTTTGAAACTTTGCCACTGGGTATTCACAGTGACTTTTACGTTCAATCTAGTCTTCTTGATCTTTCTGACTAGAAAGATTTATTACAATATTATCGCAATACAAAATTATTAGATCTAGTGTTTCTCAAGGCGCACACTAAGGTCCCTTATTGTTCACTATATGTAAATGATGTCGCTTCGGTAATTCATAATTCTAGTGTCCTACTTCATGTAGATGATACTAACATCGACGGCTTCGTGGCACAGTGGCGCTGGGGTCCGCGAGTTCGAATCCCGCACTGAACAAGTATTTACATGGTCTTCAAATAATTATTCTGGGTCTGGATTATTGGTCTTGTATAATTTATGTTTGTAAACTGCCTCCACTATACAGTCAAAACCCTGTTTTATAATCCTGCCGAATATATTGCTATTATTTATTCTCGAAAAAAGTAATGAAGTTCTCTCAATACTTTCCCGAACGACACAGATTGGGTGTTATTATGGATTTAAGATTCTGGATTCTTTCCATACATTGATAAAGTTTTAGGAAAATGATACAGGTAGCTTGGTTTTATACTTCGTGTGACTAATCCATTAAAAAACCCTTCTACTAATAAGCTTCTTTATCTCACCTCGAAATGACTACAGTTTGCCAGTTCTGTCTGGTATCCATTCTATGTTATTCACAAGAGTAGGCTGAAAAGGATCCAAAGCAAATTCGTTAAAGAATTAGGCTTTAGACCAGGTTTTTACTATAATTACTTCGAAATGTCTGTTACTAGGCTTAATATTTCCTTCTTGAGCATCGTCGTGACTGTTCATTTTTACAAAATAGTAAATAACTTTGTGGATGTTTTCTCGTTGTTGGATGATATTTTCTCGGTTTCCTCGTCAACAGGAGAGAAGGTGGTACAAGGCTTGACTTTCGACTCCTTATTGTTGAATATATCATATTAATAACAGTTTTTTGAGGATTTTTTTAACTGTATAACAATTAACTTGATGATATATTTTTTCGATTTCATTTCACCTTGCCTTAAGTTGATTGTCATAAGTACATTGTCCGATAGAGATCATGCTATGTGATCTATATAGTTTTTGTTTAAAGTTTTCAATATCTATTAACAAGAGGCAAAATAAAGTAAATTGTGCAACCAACTTCAATATAAATATAATTTATTGTTGATTTTTTTAAAGCCGCTCGACTAATTTTGATAAAATTTATCTGGAGTGTATGATTTGGAGATGGAGATTATCTGGTATGTAACCTTTTAAACAAAAAAAGAATTCTCCAAATCGGTTCAGGCATCTTCGAGTAATCGGTGAACATACATAAAAAAAAGATTTCGTCGAGTTGAAAACCTCCTCCTTTTTTGAAGTCGGTTGAAAAGTAGGCTATGGGTCTATAAGTTTTTTTTACAACTTGTATATGATCATGTGTGTAATAATTAGAGGTCGGAATTAGGTAGAATTATTTATGTACTTACACTGATTTCATACAGCGAAAGAATAAAGTGGCTAGGCCTCAAATCTTGAGATTAATTTTAAAGAGCACAAAAATCCCGTGAGATATTAAATAAAAAAGTTATTTACATTTACACAATTTACTTTTTACTTTTACACAATTTTGTTCAAGATTCATTGAAAAAATATGTGGGGAAGTTCATTTGAGAGCAACGTACATTAGAATGTATGTATGTTGTTATTTACAGACAGTGTGGTATACATGATATCAGCTGGTAGAATGTTAAAATCAACTTTTCCAACAATGTTGCATTTCACATGTTTAGCTCATGCTTTAAATCTTGTTGCGAGGCATATTAGAAAAGGGAACCCTAATGTTGACAGTTTAATTTCAAATTTGATAAGAGTTTTTTTGAAGGCACCAAAAAGAATTAAAATCTTTAAAGAAATGTGTCCACCTTTACCTCTTGTACCTGTAATTACTAGATGGGGTACTTGGCTTCATGCAGCATTCTATTACGCTAAGCATTTCGATAAAATTAAGTCTGTGCTGAATAGTCAAGAAGCAAAATCAATAGAGAATGCTTTAAACATTTTTAATAATAATGCCAATATAAATGATGATTTATCTCGTATTTACAAACATTTTGCAATTGCACGAACAGCTTTGACAGCACTTCAGAAACCCGATCTTTCTCTAATGGAATCATTTGCAATATTTGATACATTGAGATTAGCTTTAAGATGGGCAAATTGCGAGAGCTTCGGAGATAAAATGGAAGAAGTCATGGATAGAAATCTTGATTTGGACGCTATCAGAAATGTAGCAGAAAAAATTCTTCCTGCATTATTGACGAGGAGAAGGAAGTGTATAAATTTGATAACCTGAGCTCAGTCGACGTAAAGCGATCTTTTTCAATGTACAAATGGATTTTAGGCGTTCGAAGAAATTCATTGAAGCCAGAAAATATTGAAAAGCTAATGGTTATAGACTTCAATTCTCATAAAAGTTATACAGTAATGTCGGAAGCGAACACTTCATATCTTAGTAGTACTTTGAATGAATCGAACAAGGAAAATGATTCATATGGGCCGTTTGAATAAGGAAATTCTCAGAGTCTAGGCGAGAGGCAAAAGTATTTCCGTATTTATAAAAGAGGCGAAGTATAAGTATGAAAATTTGTTTAAGACTACTAATAATTTGTATTTTGAATTAATGTAAAAACTAATAAAAATTGTATGTTAATTATCTTTGTTTTATTTATATTATCTATCTCTGAGGTTTTTATTATTATTTATATGTATTGTTGGCCACACGGGATTGTCTATTAGAAATCCCGGAAAGATCCATATTAATATCAACATTTCGGTGCAAGTACATAAATAATTCTACCTACTTCCGACCTCTGGTAATAATAGAACATGAACATAATAACGGGTGGGTTACGCGTGCACAGTGTCGAGCGGGGTGGTGCCGGGGGCGGGAGCGGGTGCGGGCTCGGCTGCGGGCGGTGAGGGTGGCGCGGGGGGTGGCCCGCCCGCCGTGCTGCTACGCTGGAGCGAGGCGCGGCGCTCGCTGGCGCTGGCCGGCCTCTGCTCCACCATACGCCTGTGGGACGCGGACGCCGAGCTGCTGAGCGCTGACATCAACACCGGTCAGTCACACCTTTTTTTATACAACAAGACTAACTAGCAGTCAACAATTACAGACACAGTCTGTCCAAATGATGGTAAGTATAACCGTAACCGACGGCTCCGTGGCGCAGTAGCTAACAATGAATTGCAGCGCTAAGGTCCTATTTTGCATCATGTCCACGCATTCTCTTATCTTTAAAAAGTCATCTGATCTAAAATTACTTTTAAGAGTGCTTTTTACCACCAACAGCATTTAGATCTTCAAATTAGTTTTTATCTCTATCAATTTTAAACACTAGAGCGGTAACATCAGCAAATAATATTGTTTCACATAAGTTTTAAGTTTAGAAATGAACGTCAAATAAATATAAAAATTAGTGGTCCCAATATTGATTCTTGGGGCACGCTCATAATTAAGGGTGCTCCAGATGACTTAGTCACATTAATTACTACTTTTTGTAACCCGTCAGACAAGTATGATTTTATTAAGGTTAACCAATTTGTTGAGATACCATAATGCCTTAATAATGTTTAACATTGTATCATGATTCATGATTTACAAAATCCAACGCCTTACATAAAAAGCTCCTAATATGTGTTAGAGAAGTGAAATGCCTGCGTCAGTAGTATAATTTAATTTTCAATTGACTATAATCAAAGATATTATGACACTCATATCGACGTTAGACTCAAGAAAGGGCAACAGCGCTTTGCTGGCATGAGTTTATTGTACATGTAGTTTCAACAGGTATTTTTGCTAAAACATCTTCAAATACATCGGCCATTGCGGCATCTGACTTACAATAATTCTTTTACCAATATTTCTTGTACTAATGATGATGATAATGAGGAATTGTGTGGTATCGTGCGCGCACAGAGTGCGAGGCGGCGGCGACGGCGCTGTGGCGTGGGCCGCTGCTCCTGGCCGGCTTCGGCGACGGCTCCGTGCGCGCGTGGGACGAGCGCGCGTCCGCCGCGCCCGCGCTCGCGCTGCACGCGCACTCCGCGCCCGTGCTGTGCGTCGCGCCGCGCCCGCATCGCCACGCGCTGCTCACCGGCTGGTGAGTCGCCCGCACACACACGTACACACACACACACACACACACACACACGCACGCACGCACACATGCGCAAGCCGCGCCCAAGCTATGTGTCGCGCCGCGCCCGCACTGCTACGCGCTGCTCACCGGCTTGTGAGTCACGCGCACGCACACGTACACACACGTACGCGCACGCACGCGCATGCCGCGCATGCCGCGCCCGTGCCTTGCGTCGTGCGCGGCCGCACTGCCACGCGCTGATCTCCGGCTGGTGAGTCGCATGCACGCACACGTACAAAACACACCTACACGCACATATACAAACATTCACAATATCCAAACATATCATCCCGTGGTTGTTTTAATAAGCGACAGAGGGGAGATGGGCGTCTCCTTGATAATAATCGAAAACAGAAAAATTGCTGTTGCCAACCCGCTTGTCTAGCGTGGCAACTATGGCAATATGCCCCTATGAGGCAATCTAAGGAGAAGGCCTATTCAGCAGTGACCTTTAAGCTGTAACGGTAACAGTAAAGTAAAGGCCGTATTTTATTATTGTAATCATACCGTGGTTTTCTAAATAATAAATTAATTAATATAATTTTATGTATGTGCTTAACAGCATGGACGGCGTAATCCGTGTGTACGACACGCGCAAGATGGCGGCGGTGGAGATAGTGCGCGCGCCCGGTCCGCTTGCCGCCGTCGACGTGCACCCGCTCTGCGACTTGCTGGCCTGGTGCGTACTCGCACGCACACACACATGTTAAATTGGATTAAGTTTTAGTGATTATAAGTTACCAAAATATAACCCAATAAAACCCATGTGTACTTCAGTTCAATTTAAATTAAACTGATTTAATTTGTGTTTTTCAGTGGATCTGTGAACCAATGTATAAGCATCTACGATCTGAAGGGTGTAACTCTTAACACAATTAAATTCCACGAGGGTTTCATGGGTGCACGGATTGGACCAGTCTCCTGTCTCACCTTCCATCCACTAAGGTAACTTTCATTTTTTTAATTATCCGACTACTTCATAAGTGGGGTAATGTTTTCGAATGTACATATGAATGTATATTTCTTAGACACACTAGTGTATGTTTATTTCTTAGTCACACTCTGTGGTCTAAGCAGCGTGATGGATTTTAACCTCGTATAGGATAGGGTACCGTTAGATTCCTTTTAGTTATGGAAGTGACAGAGTTTTAAATTTTTCTCTTTTCTTTAATTTTTTACGCAGTTATGCATTTGCTATGAGTGTTTTCCGATCGGCTCGATTCACTGGCGCTGCGAAGAGATGTTGCATCTCTTTGCATTTTCTTTCGCATTTACCATGGGGAGTGCTCTGAAGAATTCTTCGGATTAATCACTCGGTTTCGGATTAGTCACTTACCATCAGGTGAGCCGCATGCTCGTTTGCCCCCTCTTCTATATAAAAAAAATTTGCCGTGTAGTGGCAGTTAAGAATATCCACTACCCCATATGGGTGTATTAAGAGGTGACTGAGGGAAACAGACAGCAGATAGGCAGCAGTACTTCCTGTTAACAGCAATAGTACATAAACAACTGCGGATGGCAACCGCTCACCAAGCGTGGCAACCACTGCAAACTCCCCCGTGAGCGACGACACAAATAAACGGCCCCATCGGACCCGCTATTACTGGTTACAGTGGCGATCATGTTAACGGCGGTGTGAGTGCTATGAATCTCCGTTGGAGGTTTGGTTGCCACCTAACACAACTCGACCGGGCAAAATTAACGCAATCACCCTGAAGACTGACGAGAAGATCCTGGAGCTGGAAAAAGATATAGACAAGTTACGTTGGGATATAATAGGATTATCTGAAGTCCTTTATGCTTCCTTGTAATGAAATTTTTTGTAATGTTTTTAAATTAAAATTCAAAAAATGTTGAAGGTGTATTAAAAGTAGACATTAAAACATAGATTTGTTTGAAATTTTGCTTCAAATATTATTGATAACGTAATCAACAAATGAGATCACTGCAAAAGCTTACTATAAGTAATATACATATTATGTTACTTATAGAAAGCTTTTGCAATATCTAAAAAGTTCTTTTAGAGTTTTTAGCCCGAAAATCTTTAGTAAAAATATTACTCACAATAACATTACTTTTAAAAGTGGTTTATTTTTATGAAATAAGCGTGACAAACGAGTACACAGTCCACCTGATAGTAAGTTGGTGCTGTGGCCCATACACATCCACGTCTATCCTTGAATAAGAATTCAAATGCGTTCTCACCACTGAGGACTAAGTTAAAATTCCTCAGTTCCAGTAAAATGAGTCTGCATATCTCTACATTCACCATATGGAATACTGCAGGGTTAAACCTCTCTTTTACGCTGGTGCTCCGTGAAAACGTAGTCCTACCACAATCATGCTATCACCATAACGTAGCTGCAGCGTGGCTCTACCACATACAAAACATATCTTGAGACAGATTATTTTAAACAATATGTTTAAATTTCAGATGCGCTTTAGGCGTGGGCTCGAAGGACTCTACAGTGTCCGTGTACGTGTCGGAGCCGCGGCGGTGACCCTCGCTGTACAGCCTCGCGCTGCCGCTGCCTTTCCACCAGTGAGCGGGGTCCACGCACCGCCCGCCGCGCACTGCCCACTGCCCACTGTTGCCTCTCACTCACCGGTACGTGAGCTCGCTGTACAGCCTCGCGCTGCCGCTGCCCTTCCACCAGTGAGCGGGGTCCACGCACCGCCCACCGCGCACTGTCCACTGCCCACTGCTGCCTCTCACTCGCCGATACGTGAGCTCGCTGTACAGCCTCGTGCTGCCGCTGCCTTACCACCAGTGAGCGGGGTCCACGCACCGCCCGCGGCCCACTGCCCATTGCCCACTGCTGCCTCTCACTCGCCGATACGTGAGCTCGCTATACAGCCTCGTGCTGCCGCTGCCTTTCCACCAATGAGCAGGGTCCACGCACCGCCCGCTGCCCACTGCCCACTGCTGCCTCTCACTCGCCGGTACGTGAGCTTGCTGTACAGCCTCGCGCTGCCGCTGCCCTTCCACCAGTGAGCGGGATCCACGCACCGCTCGCCGCGCACTGCCCACTACCCACTGCTGCCTCTCACTCTCCGGTGCGTGAGCTCACTGTACAGCCTCGCGCTGCCGCTGCCCTTCCACCAGTGAGCGGGGTCCACGCACCGCCCGCTGCCCACTGCTTACTCTCGCCGGTACGTAAGCTCGCTGTACAGCCTCGCGCTGCCGCTGCCCTTCCACCAGTGAGCGGGGTCCACGCTCCGCCCGCCGCGTACTGCCCACTGCCCACTGCTGCCTCTCACTCGCCGGTACGTGAGCTCGCTATACAGCCTCGTGCTGCCGCTACCTTTCCACCAGTGAGCGGGGTCCACGCACCGCCCACCGCGCACTGCCCATTGCCCACTGCTGCCTCTCACTCGCCGATACGTGAGCTCGCTATACAGCCTCGCGCTGCCGCTACCCTTCCACCAGTGAGCGGGGTCCACGCACCGCCCGCCGCCCACTGCCCACTGCTGCCTCACTCGCCGGTACGTGAGCTCGCTGTACAGCCTCGCGCTGCCGCTGCCCTTCCACCAGTGAGCGGGGTCCACGCACCGCCCGCTCTGCCCACTGCTGCCTCTCGCCGGTACGTGAGCTCACTGTACAGCCTCGCGCTGCCGCTGCCCTTCTACCAGTGAGCGGGGCCCACGCACCGCCCGCCGCCTACTGCCCACTGCTGCCTCTCACTCGCTGGTACGTTAGTTCGCTGTACAGCCTTGCGCTGGCGCTGCACTGTCATCAGTGAGCGGAGCCCACGCACGCAGAGGTTAAATGCATATTGAGGCGACATTGGAGATAATGTCGTTTTGGAGGTTACTTTTGGTGGGGCACTATTGACTGCGGGTCCAAAATCCATGTGTTTCTGACTCGATGATTACAGCTTATCATAGTGTACGGCGGAATATGGGCCACACCTACAGATTGCATCATAGGGGGAATATTTATCACAATTTTCAAACATGGCAGGCGGTTTGACACCCGCAGTTTGTTATTACTTTGAGCTGTTATGCTACCCGCGGAATGATATAGGTAGTAAATTCTTCGACGCCGCCAATACTCTTCCTCAACTTTTATTTTTATGTTGAAAAAATATTTCACGTGTGTTGGTGGTATTAAGGGAGAACCCATGGCACCAAATCGCCCCATGGGTATCGAAATGGACTATAGGAAATATCAAGATGTGATGGGCTCCAATAGATATGACTGCATAACGACAGCATCCATCCTGAATAGGATCTACTAATGTGGCGTTATTTAGATTAAAGATAATCATAAAGGCCGTATATTTATAAAATTTTTGTTTTTTTTTTAAACATCTTCAAGTTTTCGAATAAAATATAATTTACATGCTCTGGCATGACCGTAAATTTTCAGCACAATTGATTTAGCTATTTCAAAGATTATCTAGTTTAAAAATATTTACGTTGTAGTATGCTACTACTCCCAAAACTACTACTACTCTTACAAATAATCCCATGATCTTAATACAATAATAATAATAATGTCCTCCAGACCGAATTTCGGCCAAGGCGGCCTGCCTCAACGGAGGCTAGCTATCGGCGCAGGACAGGATTATAATGCCCAAGTGTATGCGCAAGCACAGGTGCACTCTCTATTCCCTCACTCTCATAATCTAATGGGACGGTAAACCGACACGACCAGAGAGAGATCAGGGGCAGGACCAATGGCTTTACGTGCTTTCCGAGGTACAGGTGTGAGACACCGCCAACTTCCTGACTCCAGGCAACTACTGGGAATTTCTTGACGGAAAACTCAATAATTGATTTTTTGGCTCAATCCAGAATTCCAACCCAGGATCTCATGATCAGCGGTCGCACCACTACAACCACTAGACCAACGAGGCAGTCACGAGATCAACGATCAACGAGATCTTAATATAAACCAGTTATTTCAAAATTACAAACAAATACTTCAACTGTATTTATACGTAAAGTATAGCACGGGACTAGGTTAAATAACAAATATTTTTGAAGTTTAAAGATCCATAAACTTTATCACTAAACTACATTAATATTATGATTTATTTGACTTTATGCTTCTTAATAGTCACTATGCCAAAATATACTTAAAAAGAGAATGTTTAAATTTCAGGTTCTCGACAGGACACTAAAGAACAAAGGCAACCCACAAACGCGACTGCGAATTTTCGCGTCCACTTAACCATAATTAGTATATACAGCGGCATAGATAATATATATGTAAAAAAACGGCTGTATCCATGCACTCGTCCATACAGCCATGGACAAACTTACATTCGATCGTTGTACTGAATTAACGGTACCATTAAAGTGTTCTACGGACTTCGCCAAGTTGACTTTCTACAATCGGTAACGTTAATAGATAACTAAAAATGAATGAAATCACAACATTGAAATGTATCCATTCATTTTTATAGTTTTCTATTGTTAATGATATATTTGATATGCAATAATAGGCTGTATTTCAACGGGCGTATGGATATTTATGCTAATTAATATAAGATAAAGCGTTGTTCCGCATCTGTCTCACAAGATGCTCTCTCGGACCGCTCTCGTGTCTACATACAATATTTTAATTCATTCTTTCATACATTATTTAGTATATTTTTTCGTGTAATACTTGCACTCAATTATCATTATAATCACTACCTTGTATTTAACGTAATAAAGTTCATTTTAGGATTAAATGCTAATCTTATGCATTTATTGATGAGCAGCTATCCCCTTGAAACGGAATGGTTTTTACGAAACGTGACAAAAATGTAAAATAGCAGCTGCAGTTTCATGTGAAACCAGAGATTTTTACTCGTAACGAGATCTATCTCAACGCTCAGGCCCGATCACTCAAATGAATTTTGATTCTTAATCGAGGATAGGTATAGGCGTTTGCTCATTTGTCACCTTTCTCTAAGTAACAGTCGTGGTGACCATAGGATCATGTCTTTACCTTTTTTTGAGTATAGAATCTTCTTTAATATAATACGACTAACTTATTGAGTAATTTATTTAAAAACGTTAAAGTAAAGTAAGTGGTTCTTTTTATAGAATAAGGGTAACAAACGAAATAATTAAATGGGTAAATAGATAAATATGCAGATGTGTTGTCACCCTGAGGACTAAGATGGAATGCCTCTTTTCCGGTAAAAGTCATAGTCTTGTTTTATTATTTAGGTAACTTTGTAAAACATACTCTTTCTTAGAAGTGAAAGGAAGCCAGTGCCCAGCCGTCGGACTTAAGATTCTTACTTTATTATTAAATGTAAATACACTTTGCAAATCAAGTGATAAAAGACAATGCATTCAAACCCACCGATTATATTTCCCTTACAAAATACTTTTGTTACAAATCCTATCTTAGTTATGTTGTCCATGAGTGAGATTAATAATGAAAATGTATGTATGAAGGATGCGTTAGTTAAAACTTCGAATTGCCGTCTCCGAGTTGCCAACGGTTGCGCAATGTGGACACGAGAGCGAGAAGTGGAGCCGGAACATTTGGTGCTAACTTTATATCGTAGCGTTGATATTTATCGTTCGGTGTGCGTGCGAGTCCGTACAAGTGCGTACGCGCCATATTGGATAGCGGTTGCGCACTTATAAGGCTTTGCTAGCGGACATTTGTGTTTTAAAGATTAATCAGATAAATCGGCGTAATAAAATAAAATGATGTATCTTACCCAGTTTTAAGAGCACCTCCCGCCAAAATAATAATAATAATTTATTAGACTCCCAAAGTGGCAAATTACACACACACACACACATTTTTTTTTTTATTTATATTATATATATATATTATTTGTTTTAAATTACAAAGCTACATTTCAAAAAAGGTAACGTTAAATGCCATATTAGTATGAACTGTGTTACAGACGTCAGCTTTCCACTCTGATTAGTACAAAGCAAAAAAAAATACGTGTGGCACTCGGTGACTGCCGCGGTAAAGCTATTGTATAGCATTTTTTATCAACTTATGCAATTATAATTATTTATTTATTTTATTTATGCAGTTAAGTCTTTGATATTAAATCAAGTTACACTTTTTGAGCGTGGTGACCGATAAGAAAACAATTTTTTTTCTCTTATTGAATAAATGAGAAGTTAATATTGTTTAAAATATTTTTAATATCTTACAATACATGTAGGTTATTCAGGAATTTTTATCATTGAGTTAGCAGCTAGTGTACACGCATACAAATACCGTGCCGAAGTCTGTCGAGTTGACTAAAATGACGTTGGATGATGCACGGCTTTCAACGCCACACCTCCGTGCCCGTCGGAGTGGGGAGCGCGAGATTTTTTTTCGTTACGGAATTTCTGGATTCGGTCCCCGCGCTCAAGGCCCGCGATACAAGCTATGCAATAGCTTAAAAACATATTTCGCTATACAATACATAAACATATTAAAACAAACATGGAAAAAGCAGAAAAAGCTTTCTAACTACTACAAACCTGAGTGTGTGCGCGCGCGTGTGCTTATTTCGTGTGTGTGTGTGTGTGTGTGTGTGTGTGTGTGTGTGTGTGTGTGTGTGTGCGTGCGTGCGTGGCGTGCGTGCGTGCGTGCGTGTGTGCATGCGTGCGTGCGTGCGTGCGTGCGTGTGTGTGTGTGTGTGTATGCGCGCGCGCACGCAATTATTTGCACTAATTCCACCACCACTAAACTAGAAAAAACACCACCGTCAAAAATACAACACGTGTTGCGCGTCTACACGAGACATCCTCAGATAGAGCAGACTGCGGCGGCTGACCGCTAAGTGCAACGAGGTAAGACACATCATTATATTTTATTACGAGAATCTTAGCTAAATCATCTTTGACATCTTTAATACAATGAATTTCCGCAAAATGACGCCTGATTTCCACATCGATGTTACATATAAACTGGTAGTTTGGTGATATTACTCGATGTAGGAATCACGTTAAACAAAATATACAATCTTCTTCATGTAATAGATGTTATAACTCGAAAGCGGGCCTTCGCGTTAGACCAATGCATTTTAAGTTATTTTTGTTCCAGATGTAATCATACACTTATTTATTTTATTTTTTATTGTACCAAAAATGTTGTACACAAGTAATAAAATTAAAAGTTTTGTACAACCGACTTCAATATAAATAAAATGAAAACATCATCAATGTATTCGAAGTCAAGTAATTTTTTGATCCAATTTATATGGAACCATATGAGCAGCAATAAATTTCAAATAAAAAAGATGTACACACCTAGTGCACGGGCTCGTGAGGCAGTAGTTAGTTATTCTCAGTAGTTATGTCCGGCACTCAGAGGCATGCCTCGCGAGGCAGGCCAAACCATCATAAATCTTCGAACATCCAAAATGGACAGTTGTGTAATTTACAGCTGCAGCTACTTTCTTAGTTGCTAGTTGTTTAAAAAAACGGAAAACAGTCATATTTTAAGGAAAGACCTGGACGCGTCTGGATTAGAAAAATTTATGGCGTCGCAACAAATATGGAAATAAATTACTTAAAGATTTAACATATGATCAGATTGTACACTCATTGAATTAAACGAATATTATTAAAGTGACTTCAGTAAAACTATAACCAACACTATAAACAGAAACAGAAACTTTTTTATTCAATGTAGATTATAAACAATACTTATTGAAAGTCACTTTTTT